CCTATTTCTCGTTGTTCGCTTTGTGTTACCGCAGTATTCGCCACACTATTGTTCAAACATCAAATAATACAGACACAAGCGGAAATGAAAAGAGAAACGCTATTGTACGAATTTTATAAAAAATAATTTGCGAATAAATCGAAGTTTATTTAAATATGCAGTTAATTAGTCTAATCAATTAGGTTTTTTTTTTTGTACTGAACTGATTACGAGTTTGCATTGAGTTTTTTTTTTGGTTAAAAACTATAAATGGCACACGTCCGTCTGAAATTATTAAATAACTGTTCTACAGTATTGAATAAAATCACATAAATTAATTATTGTAACAAGATTAAGCTAAGCATAAATAACACATCCGAAAATCGAAAATTAATTTTTTTCAAAGTATCACTGAATTCGTGTGAATACTGTACAGTTCCATCTGCTGTGGTTTAGAAATGATAAAGACTGATTCCTTGTATTTTTAACATTTGGAATTCAGGGTATGCAATGGACTCCATTCGCATTTATCGCAAAAAAAGCATTCATAACACTGGTCCGTTTTGCCATCTTTTCCTTATGACGCCTCTGTTTTGCATCATCAGTTTCACAAGTTTTCCGCTTTTTTCTGGTTCTAGGCGTAGCCCACAATATAACCAGTAACTGCCGTCCCTAAATTGGAGCGCTAAGCGTTGCGTTATCCATTGTCAACGAGTGTAATCGCGCGCTATACCCAAATCAACGCGTCGTCAATTTTGACGTTTTCTCATGTCCTCTCGTTTTTATTCTCGTTTCCTTTTTCACTTCTTTATCCGTTCTCTTTCTCTTCGTCTTCTGCATCCAACTTCAGCACGTAACGCCCTCTCAAAAATGAAAATTCCATTTGCTCGGCGTTAGCGCCGCGTTATTGTGGGATGCTTCATACAAATTGTATGGGCATGAGGATTTTTGACAGTTGCTTGGCGCTTGACGCGCCAATTTAGGGATGGCAGTAAACAACCTTCAGTGAATTTGGCGACTGCCTTCCTCGGGGATGAATATGCTAGGGATGAAAATATTGGTACACACGCCTACCAAGCACGCAGGGTTGCTTTTAAGAAACAAAAAATAATTAACTCCAAATAGTTTCAAAAAGTATAGTGTAAAACGAAATTTATTGAATAATTCCACATAAAATGGTATAGATAAATGACTCATTTTCTAAACGATTTAAATAAAACGCATTTTATAACCTTTTTTGTGCAAACGGCATTTGCGAATTGATAGAAAAGTACCACGGATTGTAAATTTTTGTTAACTATGAGGTGAATGAAAATTTTCAACACGGCCTGACGGCTTTGAAGAATTTTTTTGTTCTAATTTTATTACTAAGGCGTCTAATAAATGCATGGCTTTTAGTTCTAGAAGAATAAAAGTCAGTAAAGACAAGTCTTTTTTGTATAATTTCTGATTTTAATTGCTCAACTTCTTTTGCACCAGAGCAACTTTCAAAAATTTCCAGCAGTAAAAAGTTACGAATTGGCACAGCAGAAATGTAAAATTTTTTCGCCATAATAAAAAGTTTTTTCAACATGGAACTTTTCTACTAATTGACATGAAATTACTATCTCAACGCTCGGAGCGCTACCACTGAGGGCCTTTGCCAACTAATAAAAAAGAGAAAACTTGGAAAGACCAAACAAAAATTTTGAGATTTCTCGTTGTGAATACGAATGCCATAGTTTTTACCTAGCTCGTGGGACTACGCAAAATTTAGACAGCTAGTAAATATGTATACACATAAAGTTGTTGGCGGTTATAAAGAGTCAAAATCAAAATGGAGAAAAGAACAAAAAGCGTACGTTAGTTGTCAGTTATAAAATAAATCCAATTTATTTGAAAGGCAACCACGCGGAAAAGCTTGTGTTAATTATATTGCTTTCGCACGAGCGTTTGTTTGGTTTTTCAACACCATTTATAACTTTCTTTTAATAAAATCACGATTTGTCAAATGCTTAAATTTATTTATCTAATAATAATGCAGCACACAACCCTGAAATCTTAGAAAAAGTCTGAGGAAGGCAATTAAATAGCAGCACACAACCTCGTGCCTTCCTCAGGAGTGAATATAACTACAACAACAACGACTACTACAACAACAACCCAAAAAGGTTGGTTACTGTCTATACTGTGGCGTAGCCTCTTCGGTAAACATGTCGCAAAAATCATAGTCGGAAAGTTAACAACTTCTGTATCATCAGTTGAACACGTAGCCGTAAAAAAACTGTGGTGAAGTCCTTTATGGGGATAAAGTTTCCAGAGGTGAAATTTTAGGTAGCACACAATTTCTTGCACGGATGGTTGCTTTTCAGCACTGATGAAAGAAACTTAAAAAATATTTGAAAAAAAAGTTCATATAGTACATTAATTTTGAAAGAAATACCATATAATGTATGTACTCTGGTTAATAACATCAAAAATTGTATTAGAACCACCGTTTAATGTTATATTTGATACAAATTAATATTGCTGCCCCGAACGCTCTGAGCCTTGCCACTGAATAATAGATTTACTTAAAATTACATCCCTGGTCCTTGTTCTTTCTGTATCGCAACCATGATTCAATAGTGGTATTCATCTAAACCGATAACTTTATCAAGCAGATAATCT